TGAACAGTAACACAAAAAGATGACACGATACACAAAGGAGAGAGAGACTCTGTGCTCTTCCTTTGCCCACCGATGGCCTGTTTGCGGTCCGTGAGGGCCGTGTATCTGTAGCCCACTTGCAGCAGGCCAAATCGGCATATCTGAATGGCCACCATGACATAGTGGACCAGGTTGACCGCAATGACCACCAGCACGAGGGCGATGGCCAGGGAGGTCCCCTCGGGCAGTATGACAACGAATTGCATGATAAACAGCGACATGAGCCACACCAGCAGCCCTCTCAGCTCTGTCAAATTCAGAATGTCCATACTGCCTCGGTCGAACGGCCACACGGCGAACTGCAGCGCCAGACACGCTGCGGCGATGACTGTCCAGCCGAGCAGCTGTCTGTTCTCCGAAGTCGCTTGCTGTGCGATAAGCAGCACCAACACCCGCCTCATCGCAAGCACTGCGTCCCAGTAGTAAAAGTGCTTCCGGTAGCCCGTGTAAAGGAAGCCCACCCGCCTGCGCGTGTGGTGGTCCTGTAGACTGTCTCTGTGCCGCCACAGAAACGCCACGCCACATATGACAGGGGCGAAGGTCCACAGGAGCAGACCAGCCACAGCGATCCACAGGAACGGCGCGTGTTCGGCCGACCGGCAGATGACGTGTGGATCGAGGTCCATCCGGGGCCTTGGGTGGTCCCTCGGGTCAAAAGGCAGCCGACTGACGCCCTCGCCCGGGGCGATACGGATCACATCGGCCACATAAGGATACCATCGGCAGCGCAGGAGGGCCAGCATACTCTTGGTGACGGTGGGGTGAATGAACGTGAGAATCACGACCATCATGGTGCCGCGGTCGTCGAGCCACTGCCGCCATCGGCCGCTCTTGCGGGGCTCCGCCAGGGAGTGTTGGCACGAATGGGGCGTCTCTGGCTCGGTTGCCGACTCCTGGAATGTGACCGCTCGCTGGTAAGGACCCTCTGCGGCGGTGTTGTGTGCCTTTCCGTTAGTGACCGATGGCGGCGCTGAGAGGGCTCGGAGGTAGGTGTCGGTGGCGAATGAATCGTCGGTGCCGATGCGCCTCTTCGACTTGAGTGCCTCACGCACTCTGTCAAACCCACTCGCTGCACTCAATGACACGACAAGGCAGAAATGACCACAGTGGATCGCTTCTCTGGTTGAGTGCATCTGTCGCTACCAATGAGGGGCACAGCAGTGAGCCAGGTCAGTGGTAGCCCCAACCATATGGCGTGGCGATACAGCACGCATTTGTCGCCCACGTATGGCCTCATCAAACACTCCCAAACCTGGAGGAAGCGGCGGAGGGGAGGGTAGAAAGACAGACAGACAGACAGACACCCACGGCACACACATGAAGGTCAGGATTGACGGCTGGATGGATCGATTGATTCATGGGTGAAGGCGACTTACTTGATAGCTTTGCGGAACGCCTCCACTCCATCCGAAAAAGGAGCTGATCAGTGGAGATATCTGATCGCCCCAGAGGGACTCGTCGAACACGAGAAAGGCCAGCCCACAAACCTGCACACATACATGCGCACACAGCGGTGGGGGACGTCCTGCGAGCGATGTGAGTGCATTGCGTACGGCGGTGATGTGCGACAGTCCGATTTTGGTCAGTTGGGAGGGGACCTCAGCCCTCTGTGTGGCCGCGGCGCTGAATGTGTGACGCCACGCACAAACGAAGAGAACACAGACATGCAGACAGACGAGTTGGCAGATGACTATGCGCCTCACACCAGCCGACCGTTCAGCGAGTGCCGTCAGAATGAAGATGGCCAGCAGAGTGGCGACGACAAGCAACACGTTGACAACGACGATCTGCCAAAGGGCCGCACATGGGGCGCACGGCTGCTGGGGCGTCTGGCGCGAGAAGCCCTTTTCGC